CTCCTTTTTCCTCTCGAAGCAAAACGAAGACTTCTAAACCGCCGTCGACTCTCAAGTCCCGCCCTCGTGAGGCTCCAAATTTCTCTTTTTCCTTTTATTTTTGACATAAAATTTCAACCTTTTTTTCCTAACAATTCGATTTTCTTCTGAATCCAGGAGTAAAGATGCAGAACAAAGAAGGAACCGTCATCGATATCTACATCCCAAGAAAATGGCATGAATATAACATTCTTTGATTGATTTCTTTTGATTTAGGGTTTCATTTGTTGATTATTTTTTTCTGATTTTACTCAGTTCGGCGACGAATCGGTTGATTACTGCAAAGGATCATGCTGCGGTCCAACCTAACATTGGGTACATAGATGAGAACGAGATTTACATTGGCTAGTTCTCCACTTTTGCGCTCTCTGTTTTCATTAGAGCTCAGGTATTTTTTTGATTGATTTTAGAGCAATTTTTGGCTAATTTTATTAGAAATGTCATTTAAATTTATGTTTTTGTTGCCACTAAACTCTTGCTCATGGTATAATCTTAACAAAAGTTTGTGCTAGTGAGATTGTTGATAATAATTGTATGTATTATTTAGAATGCTGAATTATTTCATTGGCCTTTTTATTCTAGTGGTAATTAATGAAATAAACCCGCAACGTCTTCACTTTTAAATATCATATCACCAAATTAAGGAGATTTTTTTGAGGTTGAGATTGTTAGTCATACATTATAGAAATTTCTCGTGACCTTAAATCATGTCTAAAATGTTGTAGTTATATCTTACGTGTAGAAAGGCATTTATTGATTGTATGCACCAGTCAAGTTATGGCTTAGTCTTTATAAAAACCAGATGTATGTTTTGGTGGAGAATTTTTGGGGTAATTTAGATAGTGCATGAAATGTGATGATTGAACTGTAAATTGCCCTTCCTAAGCTTGAGTAAGCGTAAAGCATATCCTACCACCAGTTTAACTCATGTAATCAAGTCATTGTCCTCCTTATTTAGCTACTTTAACTTGTTATACGCCTAGTAAATGATCTTGTACTCCTCTTGTAGCTACTTTATTTTTTTAACATGTTTTGTGTGTTTATTGTATATTATCCATTTGTACTCGTGATTCTACCAAGCAGTATAACTTCTTTTTAAGTTTTGTTATATCTTTTGGTAAAGTAATTTGATTCAAGTTCTTAAGATACGGTGCATTATGCTTGTTTTCAATCTGACCTTATTGGTTTTCTCAAGTTTTAGTCTTTGAGGATATTGAGAGAAAATACATAATATTCTTTTATAGCCTTGATTTTACATTGGAAAAAGCTGTCTGCATTGTTTTTCATTCTATTAGAACTTTCAGGAGGCACATCGTTCTCTAGGTTTCTATTCTAGTCGAATATCCCAATTTGATTACTAACGAAAGGGTTAGCACATATCGAAGGCTTAGAGTTGGAATTGTGAAACCTCCTTTGAGCTCAAAACCTGTGCAAGATTCTGTCACTTGACCACCTTCTTTACCAAAGGCCTCACAGATTGCTAAGGACGTTTGAAGATGTCGTAAATTGCATTCCTCTGTAAGAATTTATTGATATATGTCATGTGTTTTTTTAAATGTTTTCATAAGGTTTTTGAAGTTCTATGCCATTGTAAACATATTCCATTTTTGTTTCTTATTTCAGGCACCATATAACTTCTGCTAACTAGTTTAGACCTGCAGTTAAAATCCATTTTAAGTTTAGAGTTCTAGCTGTTGATATTAGCCAATTCGATGAGGTGTCTATTAAAGTTACAAATGAAGCAAAAATGAAAGTAAAATAGTTAAGACTTTTAAAATCAAGATATTAAATATAAAGTCCATTCTTATATACAGGTTATTTCAAAAATTTGATGTTTTTACTCAACTTTTTTGATTTTATAACCTAAATTTGTTTGCTCTGTTGAAGTCCCCCCTGTATACGGAAGTAAATCCAGTCACAGTCATATATGTATTCATCTATATCACAGACTTGTTAACTATACTCCTTTCCTGACTAAAGTGTTGTTCACTAAATTCTTTCACAGATCGGATATCAAACTGGAAGAATGTTGTAGTTGCTTATGAGCTAGTTTGGGCTATTAGAACTGGCAAGGTCGCAACCCCGGCTCAGGCCCAGGAAGTAAGTCCTACAGGAAATTATACTTGCTTGCTTATTGTTCTCTTCAAACTTATTAATATTTTGCTGAATATGCAAAGGTATTGTGCCAACAAGAGCCGACAATTCTGCAAGATTATGCTTGACAAGTTGTATGCTCACACCTAATTCATAGTATCAGGCTTAGCCATTGTTATATCTAACTCATGCTATACGGTCAAGTTCCTTACTTAGATTAGCATGCTATCCGTTAAATGCATGCTTGTAATGGCTTCAAATGCAAGATATCATTTTATTAATTTGTATTATTTCCAAATAAAAATAATAGCTTTCTATAATGTCATTTCGTCTATCTATAGGTCAGAACTAATGTGTATTAAAATACATTTTCTCAGGTAATATCTATAATATCTATAATGCATGTCATCTTTCTTTACCTAATTACATTTTCAGCCGATGTAAAATGAGCACAATTGTATTAATAACAGTGACATCCCATCATTGCTCAATGACATTCTTTTTGAGTATGTTCAAGGGCAATCCTTTTGAGTTACTTTAAATTAACTAATCCCTTTGTTGAACTCCAGTCAAAATTTATGTTTTGAAAGCTTCATATCCCACTCTTCCCCTTCTCTCCCGTTCTCCTTCTGACCCACCCTTAAAACAATTTCTACATTCTACCAGAGTGTAGACTTGTACATGTTTTCTACTCCTGACCCAGCTAAGCGTTGTACATGTTTTCTCCTCCTGACCCAGCCAAGCACCCTGTATGATGCTGGCTGCTACAGTAAAATTTCCATGTTTTAAATTTCTAGTTTAAAACATGAATCATTTAGTGTTTTACTCATTGAGGAGACCTGTATTATTGTTTGCTACCGGTTACTACAGTAAACCGAATCATGTTTTAAATTGATTCATGTTTAAATTGCTTCATGTATTAAAGTGTTTGTTGTTGTTGGCTGCTACAATAAATCGAATATTAATTTGTTGAGGCTTAAATGTTCCGTTTTTCTTTTTCTAAGTCTCCATTATTTGTGGCAGGATGAAGGTTGTGAGGTGATGGATGGTGAAGGGAAGAATATATTGGATAGAATCAGTTGGAAGGAGACAAAGCATTGGGAAAGACTCGATGAAGGAAGAACTCATCTTGATAATTAATGGGCTCATCATGATTTTTATCATTCAAAGTTTAATTATTCATGGTTTATTGCTTTATTGTCATAGGTTTTTGAATAGGTTTTTATTTGTTAGATTTGCATTTCACTTAAGAGTTGTAGAATGTGGAGAAGTTGTGAACCTTGTAGATGGTCTAAACTCAAAGTTTTATAGTTGATTATTACTTCATTGAATTTATCGACAAAGCTTGTATCAAACACATATTATTTTTTAATTGATTAAGTTAATTTCTTATTTATGATGGTAATTATTTGTTTCATTTGAATGATATCATGTATTGAAATAAATAATTAGAAATAGATGAATATCATTGTTACAGCTAGATGTGAGAATAAGCAGTAATATTTTGATGAAAATATCTTTTTAATACCCTATAGCAACGGTTAGAATTTTGCTGATGTGGATATTTTTTTAAATAAATATTAAATCTTATAGTAATGATTGCCTTTTATTGTTAATAAACTATAGCAACCGTTAGGATTTGCTGATGTGGATTTTTTATTATTTTATAAAAATTAATCTAATAGCAACGGTTGTTATATTTGCAACGGGTTTAGATTGTTGTAATAAGCTAATTGCAACAGCCTTAATAGTAACAGATTATTTGCAACGGTTTTAACCGTTGTTAATGTATTAGAAACGGTCTATACCATTACTAATAAGCCTATAAGCAACGGTTAGAACCATTGCTATAAGGGGCTTTTGTAGTAGTGACCTCGTCTCTCACCACACACTCCTCTCGGTGTACAAGTGTATTACAAAGTGAACCTCATAATTTACACACAAATACAACTTTGGCTATTCTCTACAATGGACGAGAACTCAATTAAGCTCACACTAAATGTCACAATCCCACAACCCAAATTATACTATGAATGTAAATAAAATAAGCTCTATGTGGGTGTGTGTAACAATAAGATTTATTAAATCTAAACTCAATACAAAAACTAGATTTAATGAATAATAATCAAATAAATATGCAAATATAAAGCTAGATATGAGTTTAGAAAACTTCTCAATAAATCAAGAGAGAGAGGAAGAAGAGTTGGATGCTCAAACACCAATGGATGATCTTCCTCAAGCTCTTGTGAAATTATTTTCACAAAACAAACTCTCAAATACTTAAAAGCTTTTTAAACAAACTTAAACCAACCATAAACCCTTATTAAAACTTTTTTAAACTTGTTTAAAATACTCTCCTGGTTACTCTGGTAGTGGGGGGTTTGAGGGTATATACAGGAAGAGAAAAACAATAGCCAAATCCCCAAACAAAAGACCAAAAAGCCCAAAAAATCAGAAATCTAATTCTGTACAAAATATAGTCATTGGGCGATCGGCGGTCGACCATGGGAATTTCGCTGTCGACCGCGAGCAACTCCAGAAACTATTTTGGGCTCTAGATATTAGTCGGTCGACCGTGGTGGTTGATCGTGATGATCGACCGCGAAACTCTCTGGACTACATCCGGTCGACCGTCATGGTCGACCGCAAGCCTCTGAAAAACACCCTGAGTTTTTGGACTCTAGGCGGTCGACCGTGGCGGTCGACCGTGGCGGTCGACCGCAAACTGATATATGACATGATAGGTTTTGAAGTAGTTTTCTGATTTTTAAACCCTGTTTAAAAATATCAAACAAATTCAAAAAAATATAAAACTTTGGAAAATGATTATAAACATAATAATAAACATGTTACAAAAGGAATTTTTAGAATTGCACTTCCCAATAGTAAAATCTTATCATTTTTCAAAACTAGTCCAAAACATAAAAATACAAAACACATGTTTTTGATATTTTAGCTAAATCATATTTTAAAACTTTACAAAATAATTTTATAGACTTAATAAAAGATGTATACATTGAATATTAAGTCTATAAACTAAAAACACAATACTTTTGAAAATACAATAGAATATGAAACAAATGAGATGTGTATAAATAAAATTATTATTTCGTATCTATAATACCAAAACAACTTATCCACATGTATAAACATTTTTTGGAATTTATTTGTAAAAACTTTATTATATATATATATATATATAACTGTATATATATATATAAGAAACCAAAACTTATATGTGTGTAAGTGATTGAGCTAAAAGTATCAACACACATAATATAAACCTAAACTAGATTACCCAATCTATAGGTCTTCAATAAGCTCGACTTGGTACGCTTGTGGATGAAGCTTGAACTGAATCTTTAACTTGAATTGCATAGCTTCACTCTACTATTCCGCCAACCTCCATTGGATTTGATCATGAATGCTCGATTCTATTCATCCTCCAACATATTGTTTGCCTAGAATAAATATAAAACACAAACACTAGACAAACAATATTAGATGTAATTTGTTTGTAAATCATCATCAAAACAAGAAAGCCAACATGGGCTAGGATCTGGAGGACGAGGGACTCGAAGAGGCAGAGTCGAGGGGGGCACCGTCGGGGGACAAGGAGAGGACGAAGTAGATCTTGTCGAGGAGCGAGATGCCGGACGAGAACCAGTCCTTGATTGAGTCGGCAATCTCAGCATCAGAGGGATTGGGGATGGTTTGAGCGTGAGAAGAGAGAAGGAAGAAGAGAGAGAGGGTATTTTAGGGTATTTATAAACAAATCTCACTATGTTGTCTTGGAAATGAAAAGAGGGGCTGAAACATAACTAAATCATCTATTGGGAGCTTTAGCACACACAAAAAATATGGGGGGCCTAGTCACACCCCCTTTATTTTTTAGGGCCTAGACACATTTTTCCCAAGATTTTTACATATTTTTAAATCTAATAGTCTGTGTATGAGTAAACCCTAATAAACAACAATAAAGAACTGTATCAAGTTTTAGCATGAAATTATAGGATTTAACATATCAAAAAGGAATAACACATTAACATAAACAAAGAGAAAACCCCTACGAATAACGAACAAGGTGGAGAAAACCCTCACCTAAGTTGAAGATTGATTTCTCCCACCACATTCTCTCTCTCTCTCTCTCTCTCTCTCTCTCTTACTGTCCTCTCCTGTATAGCTCCTACTCCTAAAGGTTATCGTTTATAAAAGAAGAGAAACCCTAAGAATCTCGGATATTTATAGGCATTGGACCTATTTACAAATATTATAAATATTATTTCGTTTACTCTTATAACCGTAAGGGTTATATATACAAATCCCTTTTAGTATTAGGTGTAATTCATGATTAATTCATAAATCTCATTCTAATAAAGTAATACTTTAGGAAATTTTATCATATCGAATAAATATAATTATATAATTTGCAAAGCTCCCCTCAATTAGATATATATAATTTAATCGAAAATCTGGGGCCTTACATTTAGTTACTAATGCACCTACAATTGGTCATACTCGCTTCTATATATAATGATTTAGAGTCCATGACCAGGTCACCTTTAATGTCAAGAAAAAAACCCTTTTGTTGGTTGTTGTGTTAGTGCAGCTTACTTTAGTGGACGAATACGCAAAGCAGCACATTTGATATTTATATGATGCAAAATCAGAATGAGGATACGTACCACAAAAAAAGCGCTTATCATATCATATCATACTCTCTTTAAAAGCCGAGTTCGGAAAAATCTTTCGATAGACAAAAATACCCTTAGAATTCAAATACTAATCCATCAAGTAAGAGTAAGTTTATAAATTGATGAATTCTTATTGGATATACATAGTATGAAGATGAAGATATAGTTTAAATTAAAATGTAAACCTGAATGAAATTATTAAATGTCAAATTTAAAAATGTCTACAAGATGAATGGTGTATATGCAAAAACCAAATAAATTAACAAGACAAATAATGTTTGTCCCAAAGGTTGAACCCGGGAATAGCACAAACCTACAAATGTACTGTAAAACCCCGTAAATTTGAATATTTTATGATAAATAATGATAAATATCTTATATAGTAAAAAATAATATATTTTGATATTTGAGTATGATAAGAATTGATTTGAGATCAATTTAATGTATATTTGTGAAAATATGAGTGCAAATGCAAAAAAATCATGCACAAAGGCCAAAAGAGTAAAAATCTGGGAATAATGACTAGTTATGGATTTCTATATTTTTCACACCGATGTAGTCAGAATCTGGAAAAGTTTAAAGATCAAAGTTGTAGATATCTTCAACATCTTTCTAACAAATCTTAGATCAACTCATTCCGAGGTCGGATGAGAAAGTTACAGTCAAAATACTAAAGGTTATTTTTCTAGTCAGACTAGGTTTCCTAGTTCGGGTCAAACAGATTTGTTTCGAATTTGCCTCTATAAATACCTGTGTTTTTCACAAAAAAATTCTTTCTTTTATCATATCTATGAACCTTAGCAGCCACCCTCTCCCCTCAAAAAACCCTAGATCTTTTTCTTATGAGTTTGGAGAGCTTTGTGAAGCAAAATACCAACACGGGGGCGAGATTATCGACGTGTGGCGAGGTAGAACGGGTTGTTTATGCTTATGGATTGCTTGCTATTTTTTTCAGAGGTTTGCACATGATATTAAGGCAAGATCACTTACATTCAAACCCATATCCATAATTAAATAACTAGCTTAGAAGTTTAACTTGTGTTTACATGCTTAGATCTTAATCTAATGTGAAAAAGAATAGATTTTGTTGTTAGATTTTAAAAAAATATTAGATCTACATGTTTTTCTTACTGTTTATAATAGAAACATGATTATGATCATTAGGGTTCTTCAAAATTTCATTTTAACTTGTTTATCATATTCTAATAATGTTTAAACCCTAATTTGACATTTAATTGAGTTTACATGTGGATTAAAGATGAGAAAACCCTAAGTTTGTGATACCTAAGTGTTAAAAATATGATTTAATAAATATATATCTTTTCTAAGTTGTTTGGCACTCATTATTATGTTTAATATGTTAAAAGTTCATGCTTTAGATTGAAGAATTTGGTTAATTAGGTTGAAAAACCCTAATTAGATTAACACAAGAGTCTGATTTATATTCGAGATAATTTCAGTAAGTGATTATCAAAGTTTAAGTGTTTTTATATATTTTATATATGTTTTAATATGTTTTAAACATGATTGAAGGTTTAAATATGATTTCTTGTGCAAATAATCATGCTTGCTATGTTCTGCAGAAAAAACTGCTGCACATATATACTGTTTAACTAGAAATTTGAAATAACAAATGAACCAAATTGAACCAAACTAATGCCAATTGAAAGATATGTGAATCTAGATTTCAAAACAAAAAACC